AAGTCATAATTACGAGATAAAAAGTCAAAATTTTGACTTACTAAGTCAAAATTATGACTTAAATCGAAACTACAACTTTAAAAAGTCGAAATTATGACTATACAAGTCACAATCTTGTAAAGTCATAATTTCGACTTTTTAAGTCATAATTCCGACTTTTTATCTCATAATTTCGACTTAGCAAGTCCTAATTTTGACTTTTTATCTCGTAATTATGACTTAAGTATGTCATAATTTTGACTTTTTAAGGCATTAATTTTTTTCTTACATGGCGGAAATGGGCTTCCATATATTATCGTTAACTAAAACTAAAACCATTAAAAAAGTTGTCATTATTTATAATGAAATAAATGTTAACTGAAATAATATTTACCTTTTTTTTTTACTTATTTTATTTAAGCTAGTTTCCAAGGCAACATTTATAATTTTTCAAGCTAAAATTGTAATAAAAGGAAAAACAGGACGCACTTTATTTTAAGGTCCAATTCTTGCTATTAACAAACCATTAACTATGACTTTTGCCTCAATAAACTTGTAATTTGCTGCTCATTAATAGTTAGTAAGGTTGTTAAGTTTAGGTACTGGGTAGGATTAGGGATGTAGAATATGGTCATGCAGAATATGTGCTTTATAAGCACCAATAAACAGCCAATACGCTAGTAATATGCATGCTAATAAGCAACTACTGTAGTTAATAGTGAGAATTGGTCCCTATACTAAAGTGTTACCGAAAAACTATATAGACATAAAACAATATTGTTTTGGTTTTAGTTAACAATAACAACACTGAAATCTGCTACTGAATATGATTCTGCTGATGAAGAGTAAATCGTACTATTATAATATGAGAACTGAAGGTAGTTAAAATGCGATGGGAGGAAATCTTCAAAAGGCTTCTCTCTTCCAGCGGTGGATGCCAGATCCACAGCGCAGTTCTGTTTGCAGTTCAGAGCATGGAGGTAATGATCTGTGATTAAAGCAAATATATATATCAGAAAATCCATATTTATGAAACATGTAGTGTAACAAGAAAAAGAGAATTCAAATGAGACATCAAACGCCACCGAGATTTAAAAATGAAATCAAATTAAACTAAAAGATCAAAGATAATCTGCTGTTGTTAAGTCAAAATCAAAAGCATCGGAATACCACATGCCTGTCATAGACTGGAAGAGATCGGCATTGTACTCCATGTAGTTGTAACCGTCATAATTGAACGATCCCTCGCAGAGAACTCTGCATTCTTCATAAGCGGTGAAATATTCTTCGACAGCAGCCTCAAAGTGCTCGATGGCTGGGGCAAAATGTTCTGCACTGTAATGAATCTTGCCCTCTAAAAATTCAGCCTGAAAATCAGCAATTATATTTCAGAATTCTATAAACATTTTATAAGGCAGTAAGGTTGTATAAAAAAATCTATCTATCTATCTGTCTATCTGTCTATCTATCTATGTAGGGATATTCAGATTAATAAACATTGCTCGTACCATGTGCGGTCTCTCCTCCAGGTCCTTGAAATCTGTCTCTTGCACCCCAGCCATCATCCCGTAGTACTCTAAATTCTGTTTCATCTCTGTGTGGTCGGGGTTTGCCATGAAAAATGTATTTGCTGCTGCCACTGCCTTGTCAAGCTTGTTTATCTGTAAGCACAAAAAAATATTCAGATATTGGTTAAAAAACACTCATGCTTTCCATGTTATGCTTCAGAGACAAAACTGTTCCTACAATATAGCTAAACGTTACTGTATTTTGGATCAAATAAAAGCCTTGGCCAGCATAAGAGTATTTTTTTTTAATATATATTTTATTTATTTATACATTACATAATATATAATGGCGGTGTCATTAAAGTAGTGCTGTTGAAATTCATGATGACTTTGCTGTTCAACAGCTCATTCAAATTAGGACGTTGGATAATATGATAGCAGTATGATTTTTTAATACAAAACGAAATTAAGCCTTTTTTTCATTAGGCCTGGTGGTCTAAGGCTGATGCACCCGACTGTATGGCTCATTTAATAAAGCACCATTGTAAAAGGCTGTGGTATTATAGAGCCTTTCATAGCATTTCTGGTTGCATCTAAAACTCTGCAAGGCTCCACCTAAAGACGTGGCACAGCGATGTGAGTTTGGGGGGGGGTTGGGGAAACGTGAAAGAACTTCTCAAACTGTTAACCATTCAGTGACATCTACATAATGTTGTGTACAAAATGGACATCTGCTCGGATGCACATTTATGCACTGACAGAATGCATTTGATAACAAGATATTCTTTGTTTACAAAAAGCTTCTTCTAAATAGCATTCTTCTAATGAGATGCACTGGTTTGTCCCCATTTCTGTTTACTTTTTTTTTTTTTTATGCGTTTTTATAACAAGTTTTTCGTGCATTTTGCAAGCCTCTTTTTTACCTTAAAGTAAGCCACTTGCAGGTAATTGTAAGGCGTCCTTTTCTTGAACTCCAGCTCTATAGCCTCACTAACTTTATGAAGTGTCGGTGGTCCCAGTTTCTCGCTTTCACATGCATTCACACAATCGGCCCGTTTGAGAATCCTCTGGAAAAACGCTAAATCCTCCACGGCCCCGGTTCCTGGGATCGGGACCCCCACACCTGGGAAAGGATCCCCGAAAGCGGTGTGATTCGCGCAGGATAAGCGGCAGTGCGTCTGGATTTTACGCAGCGCTGCTTTATTCCGCAAAGCTCTTTCCACGTTCAGGATCACAGCCAGCCAGTCCTGCTTATAATACGCCTCCACCGCGTTATCAAAAAGCAGATCGTATGGCTCAAACATCCCATTGCTTTGAGTGTCACACACGGTGAAATGGACAGTGAAGAGGATTGAGATCAGGGACAGGGAGAGCCACATCTTGGAGACTGTAGGCCTGTGAGGTAGAACTCGGTTTTGGAGAATCTCCGAGAGTCTTTGGAGAGGGTGGAGCTCCAGGACTCTGTGTGAAAGCCTGCCCTGTGTAAGAACTTAGGGCAACTGTGTGAATCTGGGTCTAGTCACAAATCGCAAAGATTGGACTGTGACGCATTCTAAACTGAAACTATAACGTATGCTTAAAATATACAATCTGGGAGACCCGAGTTGGCATACCTGAAGGCATGCTCACACTTAAAAAAACTCAATTTTATTTATTTTTATTTTAGAAATTTTATTTTTAATGATAATTGAGTCAAGTAATCGAATGTAAGTGATGTCTATTTGTATTTTTACATTTCAGCTAACACTTTTTTGGTGTAACTTTTATTAAGTCATTAAGAACACATCAGCACTTTGTGTACATTCTCGCATGCATAGTCTAGATAAAAAGCAGTGTTCTTGATAGTGATCTGCTAAGCATCATATAATGTAATCGTCTTTATAGAAGTTATTTTTAAAATGTAACATTCAATTTCACAATAAATAAAATCTAATTCTATGTAAGTAGTCACAGACCACCTGGGATTATTTAAACCCTCATAAAAATGGCACTTATATTACAAAGTTACTTTAAAGTTTTACAAAAAAAGTAATTTCACAGCCTTTTTCGGTTAGAATTTTTTTTTATATATATACTAAACATGGCACTTTTTTCCCCCTAAGTGTTATTGGGGAAAAAACTACAACTCAGCTTGAAATTGTTTAACTGAAAAATAAGGATATAAAAACAGAGAAACATCTTGCATAATTCAGGTAACTTCCAAAAGTGCAAAACAAGTGATACACTTGTACAGACTTGCATTTTTTTCGTTTTATAATTTCAAACCGAGATCTTTCATAACTGCAGAAAACTCACGTTACAACATTATCTGCAGTCTGCATAACACGACATAATCATTTACGCGAAGGCTACCGCTAAACATGCACGGTCGCTTTGCATTTTAATTATCGATATTTTGAATATAAATTTGCCTTGTAATATTCAAAAATATTATCCTAGAAACACGTGTTATAGTTTGACCCCCCCCATTAAATATGTGTAGAAATTATTAGATGAAAAAAATATGGGTACTTTTACACAGGCAACTATCAAGGCTACTACTCGATGCAGGAAACTCAATAGGACCCCAGAAACGCCTCCTTCGTTTTGTGCTAGACTTTTGGGACACTGGCGAGAAGTCTCGTTTTCATTTGCTGATCGCTACGGATATTTACTTACAGAATGGATAAAACTGTCAGTCTACCACAACAACCCAACAAAACCACCACGGGTAAGACAAATGCTTTCAATGGTAAACTCGCTTAATAAGACATAATAAGAATAAATCATATTATGCAGTGTTTTTTATCACCCAGATTGAATTGGTCGAGTTAATCATTCCATCTCACCATAGTTCTGTTTTAAACAGTAGTGGTTGGATGTTTTTGCTGTAAAGTATTATCAATGATAAACAAAATATATAGTCGTTATAAGTTGACAGAACTTTCGTAATGTTATGAAATGTCCCCTTACTGGATTATTGGTTCATACGTCGTGCCATGATATAAGCTACCAATACTCACACGTTTGACATTTTCTCAGAAGCTTAAGATCAAAATATTTTTGCCATTTAAGCATAATTAATATTTCCTCTGCACCTCCAGAGGCGCTTGCTTTCAATCTGGAGAGCTTATCCAACCTGTTACGCAACTCTTTAAAAATTCACATAGTAGCCGTCAGTGTTGGGGAAGTTACTTTTAAAAGAAATGCATTACAATATTGCGTTACTCCATAAAAAAGTCATCTGATTCGTAACTCGCGTTACTTGTAATGCGTTACCCCCAACACTGGTAAGCCGTAGTTTCTTAATGAATTACTGTGGATCAGATCAGTGCAGAAAGCAGTAAAAACCAATTTGTAATTTCTCTTTTTATGGCAGTGGTGCCTAAATGAAAATATACTGTTAGTTATTATAATATATATACTGTAAGAAAAACGATGAGGACGTTGAAGATCTCAATGAAGATGATTATTGCAGAATTAGTGACACAGCTGCATGTAGTACCTTGGGATCAACGGAGTCGGAATGAACCCCAAACATCCTAAACTCAAACCTTTCATAGTTACGATTTACTAACCTTTACACCCTTAACCTTTACGATTTACACCCTTAAACGAAGTTGCTCCTGTCGTAACAGCTGTGGTCTGTATGTTAATAAAGTTCAGACACCCCATTGTCTGAGATAGTTCTCTGTGTCCCACAACCATTCCCATTTATCAGTTGATGACCATTTGCTCAGGATCGAATCATCCCAAATGGTGCAGAAACAACACAACCATTGACTTTCTTCTTCTCTATAATAATAAAGCCATTTTGGGAAGTGATCATGATTTAACATGGATTAACATGTTATATTAACATGTCATTAACATTAGCATGGATTCAACAGGATTTTACATGTCAACACTGTTAATATTATAGTAACCTTGGTGGAGACCAGCAGTAACCCGAGTGGAATGGCACTGGTGAGTCCCTACCAGACTAACCGGGTTGGGGATCCTATGGATCTAGTTGCTCTGGCACAGCAAGTACAGACGGTTAGTGATACTTTAGCTCTTTATCACTTTTGTGATATCAGCATCATTAAAAAATAAATCAATCATTCATTTAGTTTTTTTTTTGTGGGGTAATTTTAGGGAGATGAATTCATCAGAGCCAATGCTTGCAACAAACTTACATTGATTGCTGACCAGATAAGATACCTTCAGGAGCAAGCAAGAAAGGTAAGGTTGAACTGTCAATCAAATGACTTTTTTTGTTATACAGCAGTACCATAAATGTCCCTGGACATAAGGTAAAATTATTTACCATTAAATTATTATTTTTTTTCTTCTATGAAAATGTACTCACCCTCAGGTCATCCAAGATGTAGATAAGTTTGTTTCTTCATCAGAACAGATTTGGAGAAATGTAGCATTACATCACTTGCTCACCAATGGATCCTCTGCAGTGAATGGGTGCCATCAAACAGCTGATAAAAAAAAAATCTACGAGTAATCCACACAACTCCAGCCTTGAAGTTAAAAATATCTGAATGGTAGATTTGTTTCTTACAAACATGCAGCTTTTCAATAACTAGACATTTATTGATGGACTGGAGTCCTGTGGATTATTGTGACATTTTTATCAGCTCTTTGGACTCTGTGATGTAATGCTACATTCCGTAAAGTCTGTTCCCATGGAGTAACAAACATCTACATCTTCAATGGCCCGAGTAAATCATAGGCACATTTGTATTTTTGGGTACTATTCCTTTTCATGTTTGAATATCTGTACCAGTAATCTGATAAGTGACATAAATAATGGCTAAATTATTTCCTGTTTACACTTCAGGTTTTAGAAGATGCCAAGAAAGATGCTGAGCTTCACCATGCTGCCTGCAATGTTGTGAAGAAACCAGGAAACATGTATTATCTTTACATGCGTGAATCCAGACAGCGGTACTTCTCGATTCTGTCTCCACAGGTCAGTTGATTGCCTCATTATGAGTGTCTGGGTCTTATCAGCTGACATGAGTGAGAAGTGAGGTCAATATAAATATGTGTAATTGCAATATAAACTCAGAAATGGGTTTATAGTAAAAGTCACCAGAAAACAAATAATTGTGCTAAAATAAAGCACAGTTTAATATGATATGTTTCAATCTCTTACAGGAATGGGGTCCTAGTTGTCCTCACAAGTTCCTTGGCGGATACAAACTCCAACATGATATGTCTTGGACACCACAAGAGGAAGTTGAAAAGCGGGATGCTGAAATTGGCATCATGGACAAACTGTTGAACAGACAAACTGCTCTACCAGCCTGTACAGAGCCCAACTTTGAAGGTCTTTCACAGTGAAAGGTCACCGCTCACTCACAGACTGTCTTATCTGCTCATGGAGGCCACATTGTCTTAAAAGCTCCTAATATATATATTTAATACAAAGAGGAAATTGAATTAAAATCGGTTTTGCAGACTGTAAACTTTCCTTTGTCACTTCTACTGGACCTGTAAATGTATCATTCAATCATGCATTTAATGTGTTCTTATGGTCAGATTTTCTGTTACATTTACATTTATTTTAAATGTTGTGGTCTAATTTATCTTAATTTCAGGGCTACTGATATTTTTGGGCATTTCGTTTACATTAAATCAGTTATTCAGTGCCTCAGTTGATAATTTATTTTTATTTTTTTTTTTTTAAATAAAGCAGTAGAAAAGCACTACTTACTCTACATCAGTGGTTCCCAATCCTGGTCCTGGAGAACCCCCAACACTGCACATTTTAGATGTCTCCCTATTCAAACACACCTGATTCAACTCATCAGCTCATTAGTGAAGACTCCAAGACCTCAAATGGGAGTGTCAGATAAGAGAGACACCAAAAACGTGCAGTGTTGGGGGTTCTCCAGGACCAGGATTGGGAACCACTGCTCTACATGAAACAGCATAACATATGTGCTCATCATATATATAATTAAACATGTTAGTCTGAGATTTTCTATACAAAAATTAATGGTGTTATATCAAAAAAGGAATTAATAAAAATGAATTGGTTAAAATTACCTATGTAAATGAACACCTGCAAGACACCCATTTAGCCATCTGTTACTGTTGAGCTACAATTATCAGTAATGTTTTGGAGGTAAGAGTTCACAAAAGGTAACAGCTCCCAGTTGTCAGTTGCAATGCTGACCCGAGCGGCATCCTCAGTCTGTGTAATCTTCAAAAGGATATGGCACTTGGGTGGAAGAAAGAACAAGACTTTCCATGATCTTTTGCTTTGCTGATCTGTAATAAGGTAACCTTGAAAATGTGTCTTGATCAGATCAGCAAGACTTTCATCTTCAGATTTAAAGCAGAACAGACTAATGGCAGATTTGTCAGGATTCCCAGAGGCTGTGGCCTCCCAGATGTGTTCGAACACTTGTTCCTTGCATTCACAGGATGAGTTTGGAGGTAAAGGCAGAGGAAGGAATATCTCAGGGAATGAAACGCTCACATCAGGCAGTCGGCTGTGCCAAGAGCGTCCGTCTTGCGTGGTAAACATGGCACTGACGCATAAACTAGTAGGGTAGGGTTGAAAGGGCTTGAGCTTGACTTTGACCTCAGGTGGCTTTCCATCTCTGAACACACATGGTACGTGTATGTCACTTACCGTTGCGTAGTTTGAGTCTTTCAGTTCGAAATGCAGACAGATTGTGAAGACTTTATCGAATAAAAGATCGGTTTCTTTTGCATGAGTCAGATTGTACCTTAAAGTGACCTCAGAGCCAAATCCAGGTGTCTGAAACTGTCCTTGATAAACCTCCAACCAATTCCTAACCTCTTCTGTTGCCTCCACTGGCTCTAAAGAGCTTTGTGTGGCTTTTTCTTGTACCTTGATGAGTTGTAAAACATGCCGGTTTGTTTTGTGCACAGTCAGATTACTGGCGATCCCCTCGCTCTCGGCCATAATTGCAGAATGTGACCGCTCTTTGGCACGTCCTCCATCAAGTTCTTTGGCGAGAACCCCCGTAAGCTTTTCCCACGAAAGGTTGGTTAGCAATGTGTAGTAGAAGCGAGCGTGATCCTTAATGTCTGTATCGTCATATTGTATTGATATGTATTGCAAAAGATCAGCCAACTCGATAAACACTTGATCGATGGAGGGGTGCTCCAAAAGATTGCGACAAACAGCGAGAACTGCGTTTCCAACCTGCCAGTTGCCTCTTTCACACAAGTTGGAGTTGATGAGGACATTGAGAAGAAGGTAAATGGTGTTTCTCTGGGTAATCTGACCCTCTTTAGCCACTCTTTTTAAGACTTTCAAGTGCCAACTCAAATTATGAATCGTCAACTGCAATGGAGGCATTTCCATAATGCATTTCTGAAGCTCTCTTAGCAACTTGACTGACCAGACTGGGTCATCCAGATGCTCCTGGATGCGATCCGCGAGGCCAATCAAATTTGGAGCGAGTCGCGAATGTCTGGAATACATGTCGCATAATTTGTCAATCAGCTTCTCAGAGAGTTCTTCCATGCCATTGAAGTGCATGAGAAAAATAAACAACGCTCTGAAAGAGGTCACCACCACTTCTCTGCTACCGTCATTGTCTACGATTTTCAAAAGGGCCAATAAGTGATCAAACAGGAAGCCGATTCCTTTGTCCGCTTCGCCCTCATTGGCTTCAAGGTGCACCAAACAAAGAAGGTTTAGCCTGCAGAGCATAGTTGCACTATCATTGAAAACTGTTGGATGAAGAGACGCTGCCAGACGTGGCGTAACCAGAACGGGTAAACACTCTTCTCCGCTGCTGGATATGGGACGGTTCTCAGGGAAGTGCAGGATGCATTCCATGTAGAAGAGCTTTTCTGGAATTCTTAGGAGCGGATGCTGGGCTGTGCCCACAAGACGCATGAGCAGGAAGTTCTCGTCCTCTGCGGTGAAAAGGCTATCTGTGAACGTGTCCTTCATAAAGAGTGTGGCATGCATGAGTGAAACATCTGCCGTTCCGAAGAGTCGCAGAAGCTGCGATTTGAATAGCGTCGGAGAGAGTCCCGGGACCATGGCGACAACTTCTACAAGCTCCCTAAGTAGGGCAGACTGGGAAATAGGCGTTAGCAGGTAAGACTCCTCCAAGAGCGAAGACATTATAGATTTGAGTTCTTTACAATCCAGTCCTTGTGTCAAACGTGGGACTTGCACCAGCATGTTTATAGGCAATGCGGTCAATTCTAACTGATTGCTTTTCCATGCAAACCCTTCATTTCCTCCAAAGATACTCTTAAACTCTAGGTCAGTAACATCTTTTTGGTTCGTCAAGATCCTTATGGCGTTCTTCAGCCCGAGTGTATAAAGCAAACAGTAGGACTGATGCAGAACTGTGGTTTCTTGCTGTTTTAGAAGATACAGGGCCTCTAACTTTTGAGAAAGAAGACCAGGGCTACAGGTTTCCATTTCTCGTAGGCAATCACAAGCGGTGGCCCTTATTGGCTGCTGGGATAGACCACATCTGTAGTCATTGGTGTCCTGGATCGTCTGAAATAGCAGGTCAAGCCAGTCTTCAGCCGTCTTTGTGTGGGTAGCCAGGCAGGATGTGCATACTATCACATTGGTGATGGCCAGCATGACATTGCACTTGAGTACGATGGATTTCTGTGGTGTGTGAGAGAAGACTGACAGGAGTTCAAGGGCCGTTTCCTCTCCCACAGAGGCAGAAGGGCAGAGAATGGTTGGATGCTCCAGTAGTACAGACACAAGAAGTATCTTACAAGGGAAAAAAAATCACAATAATACACAAAAGCAAGTTAATTACAGGGAAAATGCACAGCATTTCAAAGCTTTATGGTAATTAAAAGGTCTAGCTACTGCAAAAGCTGCAAACACTGTGGAGCAGGGCTTTTATAATTAACTAAAACTAATACCATTACAAACTTTCATCACTTTAAAGGGGTCATATGATGCGATTTCAAGTTTTCCTTTCTCTTTGGAGTGTTACAAGCTGATTGTGCATAGATAAGATCCCTGAAGTTGCAAAGACTAAAGTCTCAAAACCAAAGAGATATTCTTTATCAAAGTTAAGACTCTGCCACGCCCCCCTAAAATGGCTCATTCTAACATGCCCCCACATATCTACCTCACTATGTGGAAATATTAGCATAATGCCGCCCAAATGTGCACGCAAAGAAAGAAGGCGTGGTTTCAGTAACCGCAGTTAGTGTTGAAGCAGCATGTCAGAGAGACGCTGTGTGTTTCTAGGCGAAAACAAAAGCACTTTATTTGGCCTTCCGAAAGTAGATGCATTTAGAAATCTTTAAGATGACTTACAACAGAACAGCAATGCATTTTATGGACGACCGTTTCGTGAACCTAGGAGAGGAGGTAATTCTGACTTTGCTATGACAATCCGGCGCTTCTGAATCAGCTACTGTTTTGTTACTAGTTTAAGTATTTGTTATGGACTGTTCAAATGCAGAGTTTTGCGCATCGTGTGTGTGTGTGTGTGTGTGTGTGTGTGTGCGTGCGCGCCAGAGCGAGAGAGAGAGCGAGAGAGAGCGGTGTGTGTGTGTGTGTGCGTGCGCTGTAGAAGATTTTAATTAATCAAAATGTAAATTGTTCAGGTATAATCCTTTAAAATTAAAGTCTAAGTCGCCGATATTTAAATATCCCATAATACTTTATTTTGTTTTCATTAGCTAATTGTATAGTGAATATTTATAGATTTTTTTAAAATCATTTTTATATTTTAATATTACACTCTTATATTTACACTCACATTTCTGAGCAGAAACGGTGTGCTTTTATTTTGAAACGGTGACCTGATCTCGTTTTTGCCCAGCCCTTTACTGCCATCGTGTGACTGGCGAGCTAAATATTTAGAGAAGTAGGTCAAAAAGCAATCTAAATTAGAAAATTAAATAAATAATTAGAAACAATAAAATCACACCCTTTACAATGAATAACAAGCTCCTGGCTTGTAAGCTAAGGTGATGTACATTGAGTTTATTGCTGTCACTAACACTAACACATTAACACTGCTGCTATTCCAATTGCAAAACAATCCAATATATAAATGATAGCAACATTAATAAGATATGTTTTTGAGTATGTTAAGTAACATTATATTAAACATATTCGAAGGGAAATCTTTGAAGACATCATTTCACATATCAAGCCTATTATTATAAATATTAATATATATACATGATTATCACAGTTTGTGTACAACTAATTAATTAACTCGTAAATGGTAAATTACTTGATTTCTCTCTCTCCGTGCATGGACAAAATCCTGCTTTATCTTTTCTCCCTCCTTGCTAATGAATTGAATCTTAAGTCAAACTGAAATAGAACGATGCCTGTAAGTGTTTTACTGTACATATTAAAATGATACAACTTTGCATATATTGTGTTAGCTTTTGCATTTTGCAATTTTTTTAAAACTTTTTTTTTGTTATTGCAAACAATTCAGAGTTGACATTGATGAATAACAACGCCGTGCATGGACAAAATCCTGCTTTATCTTTTCTCCCTCCTTGCTAATGAATTGAATCTTAAGTCAAACTGAAATAGAACGATGCCTGTAAGTGTTTTACTGTACATATTAAAATGATACAACTTTGCATATATTGTGTTAGCTTTTGCATTTTGCAATTTTTTGAAAACTTTTTTTTTGTTATTGCAAACAATTCAGAGTTGACATTGATGAATAACAACTTTGCATACATTACACATAATGTATCAACAATACATCCAATGTCATCTGAGCATATGGAAGAGAAGAGAAGGGGAAAAAAAGACTGATAATGACTGTTAAAAGAGAAAGATGCATTTAAACAGCTTTTTAATGAACGTAAAGGCAGGAACAGAACAAATAAAGAAAAGAGGACTTTAAAAAAAAACACCAACACATGTATTAATCACAGTACATGAAAGATCTCATCATATCTCTTCAAAAAAATTAATATTTTTTTTATTATGAATTACTCTTAGTGATTTAATTAAATGGTCTACTTCACATAAGACATCTATAAAAGTAGGCGTTTTCTTAAGAAACCTTTGTTTGTTAAAATATCATTTTGCCACAAGGATAAGAAAGTTAACAGCAGATTCTAAAGATTTGTTTTGGTTTTCAAAAAAAAGCAAACAACACCCTTAATGTGTAAATTACAGTTCATATTAACTTTAGAAAAACAATAGGAACTCAGATCTTTCCAGAAAAGCGATGAAACATTACAAGAGGAAAATAAATGACAAATATCTTCACTTTCTTTTTTTGCAGAAGGTGCATATATCAGCTACACTGCTCGAAGTGTGATGGAGTGGCGCAGCCTCGCGCCCCTGCTCTTCAGTGCTGGAAACCCCGAGCGCGCGGACCTGCCAACGCCCGGCGCAGACAAACCGACAGAACGGATACGGTGAGTGCCAATGACGCTCTAAATATTAACGTGATCTTTCTGCTTCTAATCAATATCAGCGCATGACTTGGTGCAACATCGAGTTATGAATGTGTACTGTCTGAGTATATCTATATTTGAATGGGTATTTAACGAATTGAACGTGTTAAATGGCACCGGACCGCAGTTAGCACAGGCGGCTAGCTGGGGCTGAGGAGAACCGGTCAGATTTGACCATAAGCGCTTTTACAATTATTATCTTGTTATTGTATCACATGTATGTAAGGTCTGTGTTGATACAATAATTAATTGAAGTTGTGTCGGTGTTAAATAAAAAGCTACTTCTGCCTGTTGACAACGGATAACTGTCATCCTTTATTTATATTTTCATGTTAGCATATTATTGCTAATTTGTCTTAAATGCAGATTGAATTATTGTGGTTGCTATAAAGGAATTGTGCAGTGAATGCTCATTAAAATTGTGTTTTGGTGGCCTTCAGTGGTATAGCATCATTGGAAATTCAGAAATGCTGCATTATTTTTTTTTTATAATTATGTGGCATTGAATCTGAGTTTGTTATATTAAATTTTATTTAGTATCGATGACACTGGCAGGCCTGCTATTGATCTTATTATATATATATATATATACACATACATACATATATATTTATATATATGAGATGAAATCAGAGCAATATCATGTACAAAAGTTCATGTTATTGCACACATTACATTTACTTTTAATTACATTTAAATAGGGGTTGAAATGTTTGTGCTTGCTTTTCGTTCATTCTTTGTGTTTGCTATTGGTTTTGATGTGATTTTTAAAAAGATCTTTACAGTGTGCAATCTAATATTCACATTAACGTAATTGCAGACTGTGTCGTATTAGCTTGTTGTATAACTGACTTTTGTACAATTTTATTTTTGTTTTACAGGGCAATTTGTCAATTTGACGTATACAATTTAAAGGGGTCATATGATGCTGGTAAAAAGAACAGTATTTGGTGTAATGAAATGTTTATGCGGGTTTAAGGTAAAAAAAACACATTATTTTCCACATACTGTACATTATTGTTTCTCCTCTATGCCCCGCCTTTCTGAAACGTGTCGATTTTTACAAAGCTCATCGGTCTGAAAAAGCGAGGTGTGCTGTGATTGGCCAGCTATCCAGTGTGTTGTGATTGGTCGAATACCTCAAGCGTGTGACGGAAATGTTACGCCCCTCACCATACTGTGATGATGCCCTGTCAGGCCGGAGTGATGATTCAAAAACATGAAAACCCATTATAAACGAGGCATTCGTTGCATCCAGTGGGGACATAATTATGGATTATAATGACTTGTACTGTCTTTTTACGCGTAAACATAAAACCATGTCTGAATTTGTGATCGGAGAAATGACAAACAACAAGCCCTACTCTACACTGCTCAAAAAACTCGCTTTAAATATATAAAATATAAAAACTCTTTAAATATAAAAGACGTACTTACAGTCTTTGAGTCAGAACAGCCGGCATTGTAGTCTACTCTCTCAGGATCAGTAAACAGTCCTCCATAAAATGTGCTGCACACATCTGAATATTTGGGTTGAAGTGTTCTGGAACAGTGTTGTAAATACAACGTAACCACTGATTTCTAGTCGTGTCCATTTTTGGAAGGCCAAACAAAGTAGTTTCGCATTCACAACGAAACAGCGTCACACATGCCGGCTTACAGTGAGCAGAGGCCGGGGGCTAGCGTGAGGAACGGCGAGAGGGTTAAGCCTGCGTTATACTTTCCGCGGGTCCGCTAGGGTCTGCTATGGTATGCGTGACGTAAAAATCGTCATCGGAGAGTGTGCGCGGAGGGTCCGCGCGGACATCGCTTGCCTCCAATTTTTTGTGACCACACGGACAAGTACGCGCGGTCAGTAGGCTACTGCGCATGCGCAGGCTGTGTGAAGAAGCCCGTTGCTACTCGAACCTGTACAATCCATCGATAAAACAATATAAAGACAGCCAGATGTGCAATAACTCTGGGCAATTCTTTGTTCACATGTTTGTTTATTGTTCAAGCCGATCTACTACGCATGTATGGAACACGTCCGCAGAGCGGACCATCAGCGTATGCTTTCGGAAGTATAAATACAAGAAGTCCGCGTCCGCGCTGTCCATGTACATGTCCGGATTGCTCATGCGGAAAGTATAACACAGGCTTTAGAGTGAGCAGAGGCGGCATGACGAAGCAGATATCGTCCTCTTTTGGAAGACCAAACAAAGTAGTTTCACTTTCACAACGAAGCACACAGCATCTTTACGACATGGCGGCGGCGGAAACAACAATACTACAGCGAGAATAAAAGTTACGCCTTCTTTCTTTGCTTGAACATTTGGACAGCGTTATGCAAATCTTCTCACATAGCGACGTAGACATGTGGGGGCGTGTTAGAATGAGCAGTTTTAGGTAGGTGTGGCTGACTCTTAACTTTTATAAAGAATATCTCTTTGGATTTGAGACTTTAGTCTTTGCAACTTTACAGATCTTCTTTATGCACCAAGAGCTTGTAACACTCCAAAGAGAAAGGAATAATTGAAATTGCATGATATGACCCCTTTAATAATTTTGTTTACATGGATATACAAGTACTTTTTACACGTTACAGATTTTATTGCCAAATTTATATTCTCAAATTTTAGTGAAGATGCCAAATGCATTCACAAAATTGCATTTCCTAATTTCCACTGTATGACCATTGCAAAAAATAAAATAAATACAAATAAAAAAATTAAGAAAAAGGCATTTTAATATTTTAGAATTTTAGACTTAGAGATGGGTTATATTTTCTGTTAATCAACTATGGTTGGTGCACAATGTGCAGATTGTGCACGTGTTATATTTTAGTTATTTTATGGTTAATTATTCTGGGAAACATTTGAGTTTTCTTAGAACACGGTCAGACTTTCACACTAACATGCCAGAGACTGAGTTATGAGAGAATATGAATAGTTGAGCATTTAAGGTTGGATTTAGGTTGTCCTTAGTGTAGTTTTGCATGAGTATTAAATCACATTATGTAAAGTTTGTAGTATCACTTCAAAGATGGAGCTATGTCAAATCACAGTGTGCGTCTTTTGCTGATGCTCTTCTAGTATGTGTACTTCAGATTATCTAACCAATTTTAAACGCAAACAGGCTGTCAGTCTAAAAAGCACTGAATTGCTCCCCACATCTGTCTTGCAATTTTTGGGCTTTTTTCCAAAAAGTGTGTGTAAAAATGACGGCAAGCACTTCGTCCATGTTAAAAAGAGTGAACTCTGCTGATTTGTGTAAGAATATATTGTTGGTATTGTAACAGTCTGAGTGCAGAATGATCTTGTAATTGATGCACCTAGTCTGCAATCGGAACACAATAGAAGACTGTTAACCTTTTAAATATGTGTGATTTTCAGTCTAGTAGTATGCATTTTGCTTAAATCAGACAGGTTTCAGGCTTCAGTTGTTTCCATCAGTTTGGGGTAGGTGGGTAATAGAAAAGCCATAATGCATTCAAGTGAAACCATTTCTCAGTCATTGCACATACCATTTCTTGGATGCATATAAAATGAGCCAATCGCATGTCAGGCTAATTAAAGGACATTTATTACTGCACAAATGTAACTATCTATGAGACATTGAAGGGTGTGGAATTGATTTGAATATGACTTATTCTTGCTTCTGCAGCAGTTAATGGGGAATGAGTAATTTCACACATTTTATGTTGATAGCAGCTAGGCTTGTTGCAGTTTCTAATGTGGGTGTTTTATGCTTGCAGACCAACAACACATTTAGTTTCTAACACTGAAAAAGCAGCGTGAGAAATTTCACTCAGGGAGATTAGGTCTTACAGTCTGTTTTGGTATTATACTGACAAATTTAGATGTGGTTACGGATCATAAAGTATTTCTACACCGCTTAAAGTAAACTCAAAGTATTTTTAATTAAAATATAGTTCTGTTACAAAAACAGCTGTAGCGTTTTTGGATATTTAGCTGCACTTTGTCATATGAACAACAGTAAGTGATTCTGGTCTGGTGTTGGTTTAGTAACTAGTTTGATGGATTTAGTGAATAACTTGTAACTAGTAACTCTTTCAAAGCCATTTGATCGTGAATCTGTCACCACTGTTTGTGCTGTATATTTGTTTTGTGGTGCAGGAAACACCACAAAACTTCGGACTCTCTCGCTCTCCTTACCGTCAAATAACTTTAGTAACTTGTGCATTGTTTTACTTACTTGCTTTTGTCATATCCGACCGAACTACAAACTTTCCAGTGATGTCTGTGAGATATTCACTCGACAAGCTCACGCATCTGTGCAGCCACGCGCTCAATCCACTCAGCGCGCTCCGCTTATCAGCTCAGGCACATCCGCCATACAGCTGTGAATATTGAATGTTTAACATTATATTAATTACTTGCATGTACTTCATAGACATCCTTAATCTCTAATAACTCCATTCTACTCTCTGTTGTTCTGTTTTCAGTGTTTCTTTTTCTGGACACAGCTCTATTCACACGCTGCTTGGTATCGGGGCATTTGTACGAGTATGAGTACAGGAGCGCAGTATCGGTATCGGTATCGGTGCATCCCTATAAAAAACATACTTCCAGTCTGTGAGTCAGAACAGCCGGCATTGTAGTCTAATCTCCCAGGAAACAGTCCTCCATAAAATGTGCTGCACACATCTGAATATTCACGCGTTTGATTTTTAGTTCGTTTGACATGCTTTGCTAAAGCAATGGCACAAAACTCAATGTCAATGACATGTTTTGAGAAGTGTAAATTTTTGTTCATTTTATTATGAAACTGTGGCAGGCCACCAGAGTATATAAGTACTCAGTCTGGTCGTGTTGGTCATTTATAGAACAATTACACAAGTTGATTGAAAAAAAAAAAAAGGTCTGATCCTTTGTCCTACAGTGGGTACCTGAGATCACCCACCACTGTCCAAAGACCCCCTTCCTGCTGGTGGGGACACAGATTGATCTGAGAGATGATCCTTCTACCATCGAGAAGCTTGCCAAGAACAAACAGAAACCCATCACTCCGGAGACAGCAGAGAAGCTGGCCCGTGATCTGAAGGCTGTCAAATATGTGGAGTGCTCCGCTTTGACGCAGGTGAGTGAGGTCTCACGGACAGCACACAATTGTGGTGATATGTTCATGAATGTACAGTATATCATCTACTTTATAAACAGAAACTGCCTCTTCAGTTGGTCATTTAACATGCTAAAATAGTGTCCTGATGATATAGGATTAAGATTTGATTTTTGAAACAAAGTCTTCCAGGTGTGTTTTGTATTTATTTATATATTTATTTATTTCAATTTATGTACGGTTTACGTTAACAAGAAAGTGGAAGCTTCATAGCATTTGGTCAGAGGCTCAGAGACTTGGTGACTTGTTTGAATTTTTCGTTTTTGAAAATTAACCTTTGGTTTGTGATTAGAGGTTGTTCTGTCATTGACCAGCAGTTCTTCTTGATGCTTGCTAGAATATAATTTATGCGACTCCATAGGTGAATGTATTTTAAAGTAGCTATTATGATTTTATTTGTTTATTTGGCATTTTAGTTTTATTTATTTATTTTTTTAAGCCTGCTCCACTAATTTATCCATTTTCATTTGTTAGTATCATCCACTGGCCTGTGTGGCATCTGCACCTGTAGAATTACTACTTTAGTGGTTCTTTCTGTGCAACAAGCTCTTCTACACGCAGCTTCTCTTCCTCACTGGCTGTTGTTCTCTGTTGAAATGTGCTAGTTCCTCTCTTTATATCTCACCTCTTTCTCTTTTTCTCATCTGTTTTCTGTAACTGCTAACATTGGTGCCTTATTCTGTTTCCCTTCCCTTCTGTGTTCATAGCGAGGTCTGAAGAATGTATTTGATGAAGCTATCCTAGCTGCCCTCGAGCCTCCTGAAACGCAGCGAAAACGGAAGTGCTGTATATTTTAAACCTCTCTCTTTCTAACGCCCCACTCTTCCCCAGATGTTTGCTGCTTTAGTTACCTCTTGCTCCACAGAAATGACAAGTTTCCCAATCTCTTAAGTGACGTCATAAATATGTATCTTGTTTCACCAATACTAAAGGATTTGCTTTTGCTATTATCTTTTTTTCTACTTTTTTTTTTGTTGGCTTTGGAGACTGCTAACATTAGACCCATCTATTGGGAGTGACATTGGTCTCCTTTCTACAGATTTGTATTACTATAATTATTTGCACTTTGGGTTTGAAAATAAAAATGTGGAGGTTTACAATGAAGGGTTGAATATATCGTTTTTTTCTAGTACTGATATGTTGCTTTAGACATGAAAGTTCATAGTCTTTATTTCATTGTTAGTGTTAAGAGCAGACAAATGTAAAATGGTTCATTACTTTGCTGCTCAGTTTGTTTGCAAGAATCATTATTCCTTATCTCAGTGTATTTATTTTGTACTGCAACAATTGTATCATATAAAGTTAATTCTAAACTTAACGTATGGCTACAATTTGGTGCCATTCTTATCCGTACAACGTCTTGAGAGTTTAAATGGCTTAATATAATCCTGTCAAATGATTTGTGCCATTAATAAAGGACCGCTGCAATTGCCATTACTTAATGCGTCTCTCTCATCAATTAATGCTTAATGCTGTTTAAAGAGTAAATAGTTATCTTTTTTTTTTTAAATGGCCTCGATCAACTTTGATGCCAACACTAACACAACACTATTATACATTACCCACAGTGTCTTTTTGCACAAAGCGTAATCCACATCTACCTTCCACCAGTTGTTTGTGAATAAATCCTTTTCACTATGGCTCACACAGTGGAGCCTTGTCACAGAATACATTTGAGACATGCTAACAGAGCTCGACAGGACAATAACTGTCTCTTGCTTTAGCGGTTCACTTGAGGTGTTTTGTCAACAAACAAAAATAATGTGAAATTCTCATGAAAGTGTTGTTCTTGCTCAGTTTGTCCAGATGAGGGCAGTCTTGTAGCAATTCCACACTGCAGGTTGCATTCTCTTGCAGATCATTTGTCCCTGTGAATGTCTGTTATTTCATCCAGAGCCCTGAGTTTCTGTTTGACCAGCCCTTCACCTCACCAATCCTTCGGTCTCTGAGCCTGTGTATGCTTGCACTTCCACTTTCTTGTTTGACACTTTGTGTTGTGCCTGAATGACTGCACAGCATGGCTAATTCAGTTGTTTTTTTCAGTTGACTGGGTTTTACTCAATAGTTGCAGAGGAAGTAGTAAAAATTGTTTGTTTTATGAAATTGGCCAACCATCTGAAATTTTAATTTCTAGGTCATTAGCGGGCCCACATGGAATCTGTGTGTGCAGAATTGGTCATTAATACAATTTGACACATCCCACATGGATAGTCCACCCAAAAATGAAAATTGTGTCGTCATTTACTCACTCTGGTGTCATTTCAGCCTGTATGACTTTCATTTTTTTTGTAGAACACAGAAGATATTTTGAAGAGTGTTGGTAACCAGTTTCATTTCCCATTGACTTCCATTATATGTACAAAAATTTAAATGGAAATCAATGGGAACTGAAACTGGTTACCAACATTCTTCAGAATATCTTCCAAGTTTTCAAGTATCTTCCAGTTTAGGGTGGACTATTATTTTAAGCAGTTTGGCTGTTTATGCTTTTAGATACCAGTAGGAGTGCAACACTCTTATGCACCGTTTGAAAATATATTTTGCCTTTTTTAAATCCATTTAGCAGATTTTCTTTCAAAACACGTCTCATTTGATTATTTTCCTTTTTTGGCTTTTTCCCAATTGGCGTTCTTAGATGCTTGGTTCACTTGTAAATATTACTTTGTGTTATATGCATTTCCTACATATTTAAATTTAGTTTATGCTGCTTATCCATTATTTTTACAATGCTGTTCTTATATTTTGCGTTTTCAAATGTCCAAAATCATTGAATCATGTTGCGTCTGGCAGAAGTGATTTTGTTCCCAACCCACCCATTGATTTTCTGTTCTTTGTCTGTGCGTTGACCCATGTTGAGTGTCCATCTCTCCCTTGCTTTGTGTTCACAGAAAGGCCTAAAGAACGTATTTGATGAGGCGATTTTGGCAGCCCTGGAGCCCCCAGAGCCCAAGAAGAAGCGTAAATGTGTGCTGCTATGAGCGCCCTGTTACACATCTCTCCCCCTCCCTTCTTTGCTCTGCTAAGGCTGGTCCACAGCTTTACACTCTAAAAAGCAATGTGTAAAAGAAGTGAGTTTCAATATTTGCTCTGCAATAAAGATATAAAGAGTACCCACCATACACATGCACATACACACACACAACAAAAACCACACACGACCCACATGCTCATTAATATAAAAACCTAGAGGGCCTTTTCTAGTTTTGATTCAGGGGTCTTACTTATGTACTTCATTGTGAGATTTATTAGAGATGCTGCCTTGGTTTGCCAGCCATGTTTTGACATTTAAGTGGGTTAATGTGACATACAGTAGTACCACTGCACAGGCACTCTCAGTCGCTAAAGTCTTAAGTAGTTTCAGGTTGTATTTCTTTCCATTGTGCTGTGCAAAGATCGTACGGTGTTCAAAATGGCAACCGAATCACTGACCTGATTCGAAACGTCACTAGCCCAAGAAATAAAATAATTATTATATTTGGAGATGTGTTCGCGAGTCTGCCGTAATCCCCCTCCCGCCCTCGAACAACAACACCTGAAGTGCTTAGAAATAGCTCCTTATTCTTTGCCAATATTCCCATTTAATAGGCATTCAAGACAGTAGTCCTGTAAATGGTTCAGTTGATATTCGTGTATAATTTTGACTCCTAAAAAAAAATTGGTCTATCTCAAGCAGGGAACTTTCTAACAGTGTTAGCAGAACAAGTGGCGGGTTCTAATGCGTTGCTAGGGACCATGGAAGCGTTGTTCCAGAACTTGTGATGCATGTAGGTAAGCCTCCAGGTTCCTTCGGATAGGCTAACATTAATAATAATGTAAGCTGACAAAAGTTGTTGTAGGCTCCAGTTGTTTTTATTTTACCAAATGTTTTTTTTTTCTTTGTGATTATTGATTTTTTCTTTTATTGTTTTATCTAAATTTTGTTTTCCTCAAAGGTTAATTTCACTCCTTTGTTTTGTTTAGGGGCTGGATCCACAGCGATTCTCTGATCCACCTCTGGTTTTTAAGAAAGAAATCAAGCAACAGTTGAATGTTTATGTGGTAGTGCAAGATGACCTCTCTCAGAACCAAGTTTAATAGTGCAACACGGGTGGATCAGAGTTAGTTTGATTTCCAGTCTGTTTCCCCTCCCTAGTTATTTGTTTTGTTTTTGTTTTGGTGTAAACCAAATGCTCTGTATGAAGTCTCTCCTTTGTACTGTATATGCATTCTTTTGAGAAAAAAAATATTAAACTTATACCTTAATTGCCTTTATCATGTTCCAATCCCTTTCTTAAGGTGTTGCATGTATTGTAAAATGAACACTAACTGAATCTTTACTTAAGGAACATCTTTCCTGTGTACTTTTTTAATTGATAAGCAAATTTCTTTATCATTTGTCCTTTTTCCCCAGCCTCAGCAATTTTTGGACTCGGCACTATAGTTGTTGGTCAGTGTGATCATTTCTGCCAGCAGGGTATGCTGTATGACCAGATAGGTAAAGGATAGCCTCTTCATCAGTGATCTGTAGCAGTGAAAGCTTAGTGAGTATTTTTCAAAATGCATTCACATGGGAATATTACATTAGTCATTTTTTTCAAACAAATGTAAGTGCATATTTTAGGTCCATTTAAATGTGCTTCATAACAGCCGCATTAAAGCAGGAAAGATGTCATTTGGACTAAATAGTAAAACCGTAGTAAAAAAAAATTGTAAAGACCCGTTTCCATCTTATTACTGCAAAAGGCTGGTTTTACACATTGCTAACATTTCAATTTAGGCACAGTTCACACAGCCATTGTTTGAAACAAATATGCCTGTTTGATGCAAGATTTTCATGTTTTTCAGTATGACAATGCAGTTTGGAATGTCCATTTCTATTAATATTTTCACTTTGTGTGATTTTAGTTTTTATACATTTTCAGTGACCTACTCCTGATAAGCATTTTATAATTTATGACAAATGGGAAATTCACAATATGGTGAGCACCGAAATATTTTGTTTTCTGCAAATAGCTGTAGCTCTGTTACTGGTTTTACCTATATAAGATCTGTTTAATTCATATTTTATAATCTGTTTAATATTTCATGTTCTTACATTCCTGGCTGTAAATTATAATTAAAAATCCCATTTTAGCTCAATATATTGCTTTTAGCGCACAGTCTACTCAAGATTTATAAATTACACTGGGGTGGATGAGTTGACACATTCCTTGAGTGTTTTACATGATGGTTGTCAGTGTGCACTTGTGTTAAACAGCCACAAAAAAACATTAATTATGAACTGTGGAGTGGCTGGCATTCCTTTGTTTGGTTGGTGGGGGTGTCCACCTGCATGACTTCACTCTTTATCAGCATCATTATCAGTGTGCAGATTCAACCTACTGACAACTTTGCCAGAACGCAGATGCAGATGATGACTGTTATGAAAACATCACCAGCTGTGCCGCCGTCATCGCGTGAGTCTCACGAGAACCTGTCAAGAAGCTGCCCGGGTCGTGTTTTGCTCCACAAATCAAAAGGAGGAATTAAGATTTATTCTTGTTATATTGAGTGTTTATTAAGAAAATGGTCTATTTTAGGTCAGTTAAGATTTTTTTTTTTTTTTGTACGCATGTACATGTTTTCTAGTCATTACCGTAATGTTATAATAAATTCACTATATGAGTCAAAACTCTGTAGTGATGTACAATATCACAATATGTGTTGCACTTCTTGTGGGTCAAAAACGAAAAGAGTTTTTTTTAAATAATATTTAATAAAGCTTTAACAGCATTCACAGAAGACACCCACTAAGTTGTCATTCAGTGTAACAACAGTTTATATACCAAAAATACTGTCAGTATATTATTATACTACATCATATTTTGAACAAGAATCATTAGATGACTTTGAAAGACTATTTAAAGGGATAGTTCACCCAAAAATGAAAATTCTGTCATTATTTACTCACCCTCATGTCGTTCTGAGCCCATAAGACCTCCGTTCATCTTCGGAGCACAAATTAAGATATTTTTGATTGAATCTGAGAGCTTTCTGACCCTCCCATAGACAGCAAGGATCTTTACACGATCAACGTCCAGGAATGTAGCACGGAGATCGGTAAAATAATCCATGTGACATCAGGGGTTCAACCGTAATTTTACGAAGCTACGAGAAGGACCCTTGCTGTCTATGGGAGGGTCAGAGAGGTCTCAGATTACATCAAAAATATCTTAATTTGTGTTCCGAAGATGAACGGAGATCTTACGGGTTTGGAACAACATGAGGGTGAGTAATTAATTACAAAATTTTCATTTTTGGGTGAACTAACCCTTTAAGGATCTCAGTGCAGCCCCCAAAAACGAATTCATTGTCATTTTAAATCTCTTATCTTTGCCATCATCCTTCAAATCACCAGGTTTTACCCATTTGGCAGCCAGAAGTTTTTAGTTATTTAAAACAAAATTTAGTATTTTAATTAACATAAATTTAGTACTATTGTGCCAATTCAATTTTTATAGGTCTACTATTTCACAATTTCTTTACTTGGACCCTTGATTTTAGTGGCCTTGTGCTTTAAAAGAATGTAAGCTTTTTCCCCTCTCAAGACATGTCTCTGTGTTTCCTGAGGGTGAGCGTTTGTACTCAATGACTTGTACACCTGTATCCTCAGAGGTGTGATTTGAGGTCAGTGTGATCCTATGCGCAGGTCTTCCCCATCACTTCATGCTTTGTACTCACAATTTCCAGGTGGATGATTTTGAAATTTTAAACTTTTATCCGAGAATAGGGGTGATTTGTCATCTGGGCAAGAATGAAACATTGTCCAAGCTGTCCACTGCTTTTGGATCTCTCCTCTTTTAAGTGGGAGAGCTGTAAAGCTGATTCCCATCCAAAGCAAACACTGGGTTTGACGTTAGTTTCATTACCCTGCCATGCTCTTCTTGGAGAGTGTTGTGATGTCTCCCGCAGGATGGCATTTCTCTTCGTCATGCCTGAAGGGCCAATTGGAGTCAAAGGCTAAACCTAGAAGGCCACGAGAATCACATAAGCCTCAAAAGACCCATAAATATTAGCAGTAGAGGTGACAAACCCAACTCCATGTCTTTCAGGGATGGTGTTGTCAAGCTTAAGTCTGCACAGCGAGAGATGAAGCCGCAGATAAGCCAGAAGAGGGCTGGGTTGAAGCCTCATATGTGCCAGTCAGTGTGGGATGTGTTGAAAGGTTAGGCCGTGGACTGCGACTGCTATGAGCGTTGACATATTACTGTCTTAAATCAAAAACCCACATCCCCTGCGCGCCGCCACCCTTTGGCCATCTGTAACATGGCAACAAGCAGAGCTTGTTAGTCATATTCAGAGTCTTGCATGCATACCGCAACTGCACTGTAAGAACACGCAAGGCTGTCTTTATATTGGATCGGCTTTGGGAACATCTTAGTCTCTCACACTTTCTTTTTCCCTAGTCTTTTTTTGGGACATGAAATACAACTAATGCTACTTTTTTGGTTCCTTTTGATTTGGCTAGTCAGGTTTAGGCTATATGAATAATATGATTTTAATGTTTGTTTACTCGCGCCTTAAACTGCACTCAAAAAATATTTTGGCCTAAATTTAAGATTTACATATATGAATTGCATATGAAATTTCCATCTGTTTGGATTACACAATTTTAACAAACTAATAAACTTAAAGGGATAGTTCACAATGAAAATTCTGTCATTAATTACTCACCCTCATGTCGTTTCAAACCGTAAGACCTTCGTTCATCTTCAGAACACAAATTGAGATATTTTTGATAAAATCCGAGAGCTCTCTGACCCTCCCAGCAAGGGTCCTAACGCGATCAAGGTCCAGAAACGTAGCAAGGACATTGGTAAAATAGTCTGTGACATCAGGGGTTCAATTGTAATTTTAGGAAGCTACGAGAATACATTTTGCGCACAAAGAAAACAAAAATAATGACTTTATTCAACAATTCTTCTCATCCCGTCTGCAGCGATGCACTGCCATTGTGGAGAGAGTATCACGACGCATACGCTTGCTTCAGGGTTGCCAGGTTTTCACAAGAAAACCTGCCCAATCGCTACTCAAAACTAGCCCCAGATTTCTTGCCATATGTCTATGTTTCTTGCGTCTCACGACTATGTCGTGTATGAAATGTCTGTGTGCATGTGTGTAAAACAACAAACTGACGATTTATATATAATCATTTGTAATTGTATATACATTGTTGTGATTAATTGTGGCTGGAACAATAATGTAGCTGTAAAAATAGTTGCCTGCTGAAATTGAAATGTATATACATCTTCATCATGACTAGATCAACATGGTGAGTTTGTCTTTACTACACAGGTTAGATGTGATCCACCTCATAGTAACAATCCTGTCAGATCGTCCATCCTTTGAGTGAGAGTGTAACGATACAGGTCGGCCGATCAGGTTTCATGGTTAAAGTTAACTTTTTCCACATGTTTCCATGTTGTCCTTGCTCAGCAAAAGCATGGACGCGATGTTCTCTGGGGGTTTGGCAAAAGGAGAGTGGGACTGTGGGCGGTGCTCGGGGTGGTGACTGAAGGCAGTGACTGTGTAGTTCTGACATCAACTTTTTACGGAAGTCACAACGGTTCGTGATAAATAGCTAGAACTTTAAGCAGGCTGTGTGCATTTTACTGTGGACTGACTGTTTTGAAACGTATATAGTAGTTAAATAGCCCCTAGACCTCAGTAATCGTGAAAAAAGCCAGGAAATTTCCGTTTTGACAATATGGGACCTTTAAAGTAGCCCACACTGACTTGCTTCCAGATCATGTAAACAACGCATGTGCGTGTTAACGTAAGCAAGCGGCACCATGGACATGCGTTGTTTACATGATGCGGAAGCAGACGCATGCGGTGTGTGTATTTTTAATGCATTTAATGTTAAAATATACCTTTTATCAGTATGTTTTCCCTTGGGGGAAAAAAACATATTTTGCTACACTAAGGAGAAATTCTGCAAGCCAGATGTTTTTTTTATTATTATTGTTTTATAAACATAGCAAAAGATGACCCTATTAAGGGGTATATTAAATTTGGTTATAATTGGTTGCTAATAACTCTGGAATCATCATAGTTACAATCGAAATTCATGTTTTTTTCTGATTCCTTCAATGCTGATCTTATGCATATCCATATCTGCGAAGCATTATGAAGATAATTGATGGCCATTTTTACAAGCTGACCTAAATCTGCTAAACACAATGTCCAAGCTTAACGAAACTGGACACACCATAGACAACAGGTCATT